ATAACTCAAAAATTCAAGGCATCAAAAAAAAGGATAAACTTTATGTCTGGTTGTTGAATGCATAGGACTGCGTCTATTTCCCGACCCGTTCTATGGATTGTGACATGTTGTTTTCCGTTAGGCGAGTTTTAACGCTTCAAGTTGTTTGCTCTTTAAGAAATTGGTTTTTCGGTGTGTCTTCGGGCGAAAGTCGAAAAAAACTTATTTTGGTGGTCTGGATCTAAGTCGCTCTTCAAAATAATTGTTCTTGGATTGAAGAGGAGTTCGGAATTTGCGCGAATCTTGGTCAGCCAATGCGAGGCTTGCTTCAACTGGAGACTGACTCTGGGAACTGTCTCGAACTCAACTCGAACCGAAATGATTTCTGCTCGCTGCGGCCTTGCTTATATGGACGCCGACCAAAACCGGGGTGGGTTTGTCGGCGCCGGGGTTCCCTCGATAATTCTAAATACCTATCCACCTCTTTTTTTTTCTGGCTAGAATTTTCCACTTTTTTCCATTTTGGGAGCCTTCTCTTACTCCCACCTTCTCACCATACTTCAGTGGGCGTGAACTGCCTCCCCACTTCTTCGTAGCAACATCTCATACCCATCCTCTAAATGGGCGGTGACAGCCTCCTCCGTGCGTCACGTGATCACCACTCGACCAATGATGTCTAGTCGGGCGTGTACGATCCCGCGGCTTTGTTTCAAGAAAAAAAAAATATCTTGCTTAACAAAAAAAATTATCTTTTTCTTTTCCTTTTCTTTCTTTTAATCGCAGTTATCATTTTCTCTAGCCGCAAACAGAACAATACGATCGATGGTGGTCATAACTCTTGTTCTCACCTTGGCTTCGTCAGTCATCTTATCGCTAATTATCAGAATGGGTGGTCTTTTTAACGCGGCCAGACCGTCGCCTCGAAAGGAAATATTTCCAGGTTCCCATTCATTTTTTTCGGTACACGTTTCTGATAACACAGTTTTATTATCGCAGGCTAAAGATGTTCTGTCGAAAGAAATCGGTCAGTGGCCACCTCGTGTGCGGCTTTTGACACAATTAATTTTTCATATCTATCCAAAGCCCTGTAGTCCACCTGTTTTCCGTCACTTATCAAAATAGCATTTTCATTTGGATTTTTCTTTGGCTAGTCGGTCTCTGGTTTGCCAATCAGATGCCTTCCCGCATTAGCGGTTTGTTTATGTATCCCAATAACACAGCCCGTCGTCAGAACACACCCGATTCCTTTATCCACTCAGAATTTTTTTTCATTGTAATGACACTCTTCGCCATTTGTTATTTATCAAAATATCCTTTATCCATTGTCTCTTAGCTGTGGGTGTTCTGCTTACCATCCACGCTTTGGGTCTTCGCCTCTCTTTTCCTTTCTTTCCTTTTTCTGCCTTGGTAAATGGTGCCACAGTTGTTTTGAGCACTTTCTTAAAATAAAATAAATGCTAAGAACTCTGAATTATAAATCTCATTGTTCTTTCCCATTATATTATATAATATATATATATATATATATATATATATATATATATATATATATATATATATCTTACAGTAGTCATATATTATGATAATAATTGATTACAGATTGCAGAAGCAAGAGTGTCTTTACTGTGAAGTTTACTCTATCGTAGAGAATGTTGTAAATCTAACTTAATTCCTTCAAAAATCGACAACGATATCCAAAACATTGTTTTTTGAAACGTAAGTATAAGCTTACTGAATTTAGGAGAGAAAAATTGAGCTGAAAAAAAATAGTTCTTTTGTTTTTAATGTTTGTTTTTCGATTTTTGTTTCTCTAGCATTGTGATCGATTAGCTTGAAGTGAAAAAATAATATTGCAATATTTTTCTTCATGCATAAAAAAACAGTAGCTCTAATGCATGCAAATGTAAAGTTATATTGAATCAGTGTTATTCTTGCTAGTTCTAAGCGATTGGGAATATCAAATTGGGAATAATCCTATAAAGGAGTTTTCAGCAATTCGTGTTGAAGGGGAAAAAAAGAGTTGTAAGATGTTTCGCCGAACTCCATATTATGTTAAAATGACATTTTCATAATTCTCGCATTAAAAATTCTCGGAGATTGAAAATCCGGGCTTAATTCAAAATTCATTTCTCATAGTTATTTTTCGGTGAAAGTAGGAGAAAACTAACCAATATTCATAGTTTAGTTGAAAATCCAATAAAAACGAAACAAAACACAAATGTAACCTTATCTTCATCTTATATTTACATTTATCCTGCATTGACTGTCCGCGAAATGTAATTATTTATTTGAATATGTGTAACGGTTCGCTTGCTAGATTTGCCAAAAAGAAATACAAGGTAATCTCCTAAAATTTAAATTTAAGTAAGATCTAATTTGCATATATAAATCAAATGATTTATAATTTGCATACATATAAATTAATTTAATATTTCTGCATGGGGGTAAATTTATATACAAAATATTATGAGAAATTCTTTAATTTTATTTATTGAGGAAATTTACTACATTTGTATTTGATAAATCAGGAGACCTTATGTAACAGTCGAATTATTAACGCTAAACTTTAAGTAAAATATTATGGAGTGATCTATATATGACTGAAATATTTTTTGAGTTTGAATCCGGAGTTGTTAGGACAATACCTTACCAACCACCATAGGAACATAGTCTAGCGAGTGAATCACAAAAAAGATCTCTTCTCATCCAGGATAAAAGGTCATTTATCGTGCACTAATCAGAAGCGAAGCGGTAGTCTAGAAACGGATTTCTAGATATGTATATAACGAGATGGGGCGTCATCCTAAATCCCAATTGATCAATCTATTTCATCCGTTCTCGGATGCTGCTGTCATCGTAACATAACCAGAGCCGAAATACGACACACGCGCGACCCACACAGTTTGCATGGACACATGCATTAACTACGTCCTTCTACCAAAGACAGCAGTGACGTCCAAACACTCCTGCATTGACACTATAACATAAATACTTCCTTCAGCTTTTTTAATCAAGATGACTGCTACATTTGAATACATACATACATACATACATATATAACTACGTTCACCTTGAACTCTCACGTATGCAGTAGGACATTTTTATTTGATCTCTTTAAATTCCAACTCCTGTATATATATATATATATATATATATATATATGCAAGTAAGATGAGGACGAATGGAGCACAATTCCAACATTCGTAAAATTTAATTTAAAATAGGGCTCATTACAAAGTAGAGCATTATTATTTATATTAGGATATTACATCGAAAACATGTCAAAATCGCTACACAATTGCAGTCGTGTTTCGATGCGTATCTATGCATTCACTTCAGGCAATTGTAAATTACTGGCGAGTGAACGATTTATTTAGATTTAAAGGAAAATACAACCTCTTTTTACAATCGCCTAATGAGATGCATTGATACGCATCGAAACACGACTGCAATTGTGTAGCGATTTTGACATGTTTTCAATGTAATATTCTAAAATAAATTTTATATATATATATATATATATATATATATATATATAAGAAATATACATAATCTCTTACATTAATTGCACAATTCCGAGTTTAATGCCGAAGCAATTTTCAAGTGCTGGAAATATATTTATTTTTATTTATATTTTGGGTTGACATTGTTTTTTTTAAAAAACTTTGTTGTTCACGAGAGATATTTTATTGTTGGGGTGGAGTATTATTGGAGTTAAACTATGTTTAATTTTGAATCTGAATTTAAGCTCGGATTTAACATTTAAGATTGAAAATAAGGTTGGAAATAAGAAATATGAATTCTAAATTAACGATACAATGGTTTTGAAAACGTAACTAAACAAAAAAGTGGCGTTGGTGAATCAAGGGGTGCAACTTTATTTTTTTCCAAAAATCAAGAGAGTAATTGACAATAATATTACTAAAGTAACTAAAAATAATGATATCAAGAACAAAAAAAAATCATATCTCAATTTTTTTAACCATGTATAATAATTTTCTCTTATTTAACGTACAAAACAACTAAATTCTGGGACAAATTAAAAAAATTATTAGGGGTCGTGTCAAACATTTGACCTGTAATATATATATATATATATATATATATATATATATAAATAAAAAAAAGAACAGTAAGATATATAATCCGGTGTTCTTATAGATATTTTTATTTTTACATTAACCATGGAAACGTGATTTAAGCTGTGTCTTTAAAACCCAGTAATTTTAAAAGTTACTCCAAAATTCGCTTGAGGATGAAATGGAACTAATGTCTTTAATTTAATTGCAAAATTAAATTCGTGGCTTTTAGCTTCCATTTTGGAAACATGGTTAGAACTGTGTAGCGAAAAAACCATATTTTAAATCGATTAATTTCTAATATATATATATATATATATATATATATATATATATATATATATATATATATATATAACAGTAGCTAATATTATTCCGATTAAAACGAGTGATTTACCAACCAATTGACGAATCTAAATCTTTAATGAGTCACTGTTTTCAAATATTCGGATTGCGAGCTAAAACTAATTAACAAGTATTAATTGGATTTTGTTTCCACTGTCTCTGCCCTCAACATGGTAGTGGAATTGACCCACATTGACCCCGATTTTATTTTCTTACTACTACTGGCTTTTCTTGCGCTCAAAACAAACTTGTCGAAGTCATAGCTTTCCGTTCTCCCTGATTGATGAGAGAAAGATCATTCCAGTCGAATGATTCTTGTGCTTGCTTAGCCAGGGTTTGCTTCGACATTGTTTATACTTCCAGCGTCTGCCAAGTCTCTGCTTTTGCATTCTCATAATTCTGTCTTTTATTTTTATGGTGTGTATCAAAGGAGAAACTATGTAGAGAATGAAAAAGAAGTAAATGTTGGGCACATATAAGCACGCACACACACACACAGGGACACACAGAGATACACATAGAAACTCAAGCACGCTCGCATCTACAGACATGCATAAGAACTGAGTGAGAGAGTTAAACATCGACGGACAGGGGTAGCTAAGTGGGTAGAAATATAAACGCAGTCAGATAGATATATAGATAGATAGATTGATAGATGAATGGATGGATGAAAAAGGTAGGTTTAAAAATCGCTTGACTGAGATTGACAGGCAAAGAGAAAAGGCAAAGAGAGAGAAGACAATTAAAGAGAGAGTGGTTGAGAGGAATCAGAAGGAAAATGTAGAGACAGAAGACACACAGAGAGAGAGAGAGAGAGAGAGAGAGAGAGAGAAAGGAAGACAGAAAGAGTGAGTTATAGAAGGGGAGAAAAACAGGAGACAGAAGAGGATGAAAAGAGTGACGGAAAACAGGAAGAAAGAGAAAGCGTGACAGACAGATGGGAATAGAGAAAGGGGATAGATGGAAGGAAAGATAGATAGATAGATAGATAGAAAAAAGAAGGAAACAGATGTAAAGTGGATAGAAAAAAGAGAAAAAGGCAATAAAGATATAGCAAACGAGAGAGAAGTGAGCGAGAGACAGAAGGCTGAAGGAAAGAAAGTCAGAAGACAAATAGAGAGAGTGGCGGGGAAAGAGAAGGACACTCTATCATGAGTATAAAGCTTACCCACTAAAATATTAGAAAGAAAGAATGGGAGATGCTCGGCTCTTAGGTTGTCCAAAATGTTCAAAGAATTGATTGATGGAGGCGAACCGAGGGAAAGAGCTATTATAATGGAACATAAAAGTTACATACGCATAAATAGTGTTAGAGGAAGTAGCATTGTGTTCCGTTCTCGGAAGCGAACCCACCTTAAAAAAAAAAGTTGAAGCTATTTTCTTAAACCGAAATTTATACACATGTTAACTTTAATAAATGGCTTATTTAATCACTTTAAATAGCTGATTATGAAAAGATATTTGGGCATAAATTTATAATTGATGGCATTAAACTATGAATAGTAGAGATTAAAGGCTAATTTAACAGAGAACCGGATAATAATGTTTTCGGTGTAGAACGTATGCAGACGCCATGTTTATTAAATTTGATCGACATTTTTCTTGCTAATCATTTACATCGCGTATAAATTAAAGCCATTAATATAAAATTACAAGCCTTTTTAAGTAATCATAGAAAAAAAAAAGCATTATACTGAAGTATTTTGTTAGGTTGAAACATTTTCGAGCAGCTAAATATTCTTAATAACATTCTACAGCTTTCTCCGTACGTTTTTTTTAGCTCGCCATAAAGTTACCGGGATTGAATTTCTGAAAGGGGATCTTGACTGGAGAAACCAGATCTTTACAAGCGATTTAATATCGATCCAAAACAAATCGCAAATAACTGTGGAATTCTGTCGCAATGTGAACGCTCAATCACTCCTACACAAAATCAAAAATATACTGGTTAGGTGAAGTTCAGTTAAACCTGTGTAGGTTGTATTGGTGATGCAAGATTAGAGATGAAAGATGGATACAAACTCGGACATTGTAACCAATATATAAGTTTTATCAAATCTCATGCACGTTGTTCATCTTTATAGACATATAAACACAAGTGTCTGAAAACTATACAATGAGCTGAACCAAGCCTTTGAGTGAAATTGCTTTAACAGAGCTGTCTGGGGAGTGTCGATGGCTGTGCTAGCGTGAAGAACGAAGTCATCGTGACAGAGGTTTTGAGCGTACTAGCATTGTTCAAAATGCTAGTAATGCGAGTCTATGCTCACTCCCCAGAAACTGTAAGCACAGGAGAGTTGAAGTATAAACCACAGATGGCTTCTGTTGGTGTTGAATAAACACAAATGCAGCAGATGTTTGCAAAAGACCAGTGTGCACGAAAACAGGTAGCCGGGCATTACACACAGACATACATATATGTTTTATATATATCTATCTTTCGATACATGAGTGACGAGGCTGATTTTTCCTACAATACCTGGCCATTTGTAAACCAAGTCTAAAGAACCCAGCCTGTTCTGCTATTCAATCCATAGCAGAGGAGAGAAGTGATGGATACATGTCTTTACAAAAAATTATAAAAGTATATTTCATCGGAAACATATATATATATATATATGTTTCTGGTGAAATATATATATATATATATATATATATATATGTTTCTGATGAAATATACTTTTATAATTTTTGTAAAGACATGTATCCTTATATATATATATATATATCCACAGACAAACATAATTTAAGCGTGTATATATATATATATATATATATGATAAATTATACTTTTAAGCGATGCGATATTTCTGGATAAAAAAAGGTCAAAAGCAGAACGCGTGTAAATATAAAAGTGGACACAGAGGTCAATACTGAGTGGCAAAAATCTGTTTCATTCATGTACGCAATCATCAGTCCATGCCATTGTCATGTATATTAGATATAACTTTGGAAGAAACTGTCGCCACTCGGGTTTAATTTCATTCTGTCTGTCTCTCTTTCTCTCTGTATATATATATATATATATATATATATATATATTAGGGAAATTAATCTCGAAGTGTAAAAAAAAAAAAAAAAAAAACTTTCGTTTGACGCCTTTCGTACTTTTGGACTTCATCGGACTAAAAGTGATTTTTTACGCCGAGGACCACAAACGTCCGAGGACGCTGAAATGTTAAACTTTAAAATTTAATTTTTTTATTATATCTTTAGGTATATAGTCTCGCCAATTTCATTTAGTATCTTTTTCTCTTTACTCATGTTTTTTTATCATTTTTTAAAATAAGCTCCACGCCACATATATATGGATACAGGGTATGATGAAGAAATTGTCGTCTAAATTATGCAAAAACAGATATATTTATCAAAATTACATAAAAATATCTTGAAATATGAAAGAGTAAATTTATTCAATAAAATCAACAATGGCCTCCAGACGATTTTGGAATCTCTTGCAGCTCTTCTGGACGATTTCCTTCTTTAAGTTGGCGAATGCTGCCATAACCCTTGTTTCAGTTCATCTTTGGGGAATTTGTTTGGTGAATAAGATGTCCAGATGTAAGAAATTGTCTGACAGCCGTGACTATGTTCCCCTACTTGTATGGCATGGTGCAGAGTCCTGTTGCCATACATAGAGCCTTCC